TTTTTGCCCGGCGCTTGGCCGGTTACCGCTGGTATTAAAAACATTAATGGCGAATGGTTAGGTGGCGCGATAGTCTGTATTGAAGGAGCGCTGCGCTCCGCAACAAACAGCTGTTTGCTTTTCACCCAACAACGACAACCGACTCACAAAACGCTATGTTGTAGCGTTAATAAACGAAACAATTTAACTAAATTGCAAGTCAAAATGCCAATACCACAGGACAATTCTTTTTTTTTTTTAAAGCAATATTTTCAGTGGCCCGAGCGGGCAAGTGGAAAGTACGTTATGCTGGCCCGGGGTGTCTAAATAGTGCTTCCGGGCCAGCGGGCCAATTATAATGTCGAGCCCTGCTTGGATAAAACCACACACACGCACATAAGCAAACACAAGCAGGGACATTGTGAATTTCTGGGTCAAAGCTGTGCTGGAGGGTAAATGCAAAAACGCAAACAACATATTTGTGTATGTCAAAATTAAAGTATGGCAGACACTACTGCTGGATGTCTCCATACAGATGGTGATTGCGACGATACGCTTTGGAGCTCGTAGAACACAGCCACAAATTATTATTGCAGTTTCACAGCATCATTGTTACATTTTCTTATGGCAAGAGTCATATATCATTACTTCCAAAGTTTGCTCCTAAAGTCATACTCAAACTTCTTTCTTTCCCCTCCTTTTCTCTCCCACTCGCCAACCCTCTCTCCTGCCTCAGCTCTTAGACGTGTTCCAGTATACAAACTTTGACAAGAACCGGAGCTTCATCCTGTCCACGCAGGATCGCTTGGTGGGAGGATTCGCCAAGTGGCCGGACAGCCATCCAGGTAAATTATTATTTTACTCTCACAAGTGGCTATTACAGGAAGTAATAGTAGCGTTTGAAGTACAAATTAAAAAGATACTGGTTGTTCATGTAGGCTTTTGTTTGTTTTGTGACAAGAATCCCATGTACCTTCTTATTGTAAAGGCCACATTAGGAGTGGTGAGGTTGAAGGGCATGTTCGATGTCTATGTGGTGGAAAAACAAATCAAATGTTGTCACTGTTTTATTTTCAGTAGCTTCAATGATCTGGCGTTAAGGACAAAAGGATGTTGGAACTAAGCAGTTTAGATAGCTTGTCTTTTATCTCTTTTGGCCCAATAGCTTGTTCACTGCCCTCCACAGGTGCAAAGAGGTCAGAGTGGAGTTGCGGTTGACAGTTTTTCTTGAGATCAATGGAAAACCTCTTGTAATTCTAAACTTCATTGGTGCACATTTCCTTGGGGTGTGTGTCCTTACTTGTAATGTGTAATTGATGAGGCGATTGTTCATAGGTAGCTGGAGGAAATAGGAGATCGAGCTCCTCACATTACAGGAACTAGGCAGGGAAGATAGGGTGGAAGAAACGATGAGGCAAAACAGACACTGTATTCACAAAGCCTCGTAAATATCACTGAACAAAAGAGAGTTTTAGGAAATAGAAGGGACTCTTTTGCAGCATGGTGTAAAGATAGCATTGCACCAACAGTGCAGTCATCGCTCACAGTTACTGATTTATAGGATCTGGGCTGTGAAGATAGGAAGGAAACAATATTAGTATTACATTTAGTTTGAACATTTCACACAACCTGGGTGTGTCCACAGATGCTCTTCAACAAGAATTGCAGGTCATCATCATTGTTCATGTTGGGAGCAGTTGGTCATTTGTAGCCCAATTTAAAGGACCTGCTCATCACCAAACCGCACACAGACACAGAGTTGGATATTTTTCTTACGTCTTGGTGGAAGACAATAACAACACGAAAAGAGTGAATATTGGATTTGTGCACAAGTATAAGGTCTAAATTCTTAATCTGAATGTCATTGTAGTTCTTTACACAGTTATCATAAAGTAAGGGAGGCTGTGGCTAAGTGGGCTAGTTCGTTGATCTTTGGATCAGGGGAGCACAAGTTCAATCCCCACTGCTGTCAGCATGTCCTTGTGTCCTTGGGCAAGACACTTGTAAGTCGCTTTGGATACAGGGTGTCCGCGGAGTCTTAAAAAGTATTAAAAGTTGATAAATCAATTTAGCGAAAAGTAAGGCTATTAAAAAGTATTAAACGGCATTTTCCAAGGTATTAAGAAGTCCCACAGCAACGACAACATGAAACACCCTTTAATTTACTGAAACGACATGTCGGGAAACCCCCTCAAGGCGGCCCCATGCATAGCGCGCCGTAAAATGCTGCTTCTTATTTTAAGTTTTGTTGCCTTGCTCCGCTCTGTGGGGGGGGGTGGGGGTCCCAAGGTGGGTAGACCGACATACGCAACGCTCTGGGGGTCCAACGGCTCCGTGTGTAAGCCCTATATGATAATTTTCTGATAACGATGAAATAGCCCGCCTCCCTCTCCCCACGTCTCCTGCTGCTTCTGGGCTGTCAGAAGAGGGGGAGGAAAAGAGAGGCAGGCACCGTTTATTAAATATTATTATATTATTATACAGAGAACAGAGTCGTTATCAATTTGTTTTAAAGCTCAATAAATAACAAAGAAGACCTCTGACCGGCACTTTCAAATTTTGTACGGAAGATTTAAACTTTAACGGACATGTTGACCGGCGGAACATTTTTTTTAACGGAAACTCTGCCGCACGGTTCCCTTGTTCCTTGGAAGAGGCGGAGAGGTGGGTGTTTTTCATCTGCTGGTGGACTACCTGAGAGATATACGCAGGAGAAAAACGCGTCCACCGCGTAGAGAATAAAACGAAGGCAACCATGGCAACCATGCTCCGGGGTCTTCTTCGCTGCTTTTGGTGTATTTTGTGGCGGCAGCAGCGGCACTTACAGGCCCGGCATATGTACTACAGCGTTTCCAGCATTTCCAGCGGTCTGGTGTGAACGGACTAGGGATGTGCATCTCCATCACTGAGGCCGATGCGATGCGCATCTCGATACGTTGCCACGATACGATACATTAACGATACCTTTGAAACACCAGGCGATGCGATACGATACGATTCACCCCTGTTGCGATACAGTTCGATACGATTTGATTCAACATTATGCGATTCGGGGCGATACGATGCGATTCAACACGATGCAAAAATAATGATACTTCAATATGGTACGACAGAGGATTTTTGTTTTATTCCTTATATGCAGCAAATCATACATTAACAAAAAAATGCTTTACATATTTGGTACTGCACATCCCATCATGCCGTTTATTTTTTTTACCTTTAAAAGCTCTCCAGAGTACAATTGTATAACACCTCACAGTTAAACAATGTAAGGATGCATTGCTCATGATTAACAATGTGCAAATAACAGCTACCATAGAGCAATGCCCATACAGCTGCCAGCCTGATGTGCTTAACACTCAGAGGCTAACTCACCAGTGAGCAGAAAGCAGTGGTTTCTATCTGAACAATAAAGAAAACAAATAACCTTTCACAAACAGGTATTTCATAACTGCTTACAGTAAGGAAGACATTTAAATTATTATTGGCCGTCACAGGCTGCTGTAAGCTAAACACCCTCTCTCTGACAGAACACCTCACTGAGTGATTTAACTCATATGTCTCACTTTCAGGTTTCTCTTTTCAGCCGCAGACCCCACGTCGCCTCTTTATGTGCGTGGCTAAGTTCCTCGTACTACTTGTGTACTTTAAAGCGGCTCGGCATCGTTAACAATTTGCGAGTGATTTTTCAAGTTGACCGTCTGTAGTAATAGTGCCGCGCACATATACCATCAGGACGTTACTGATGGGGTGCGGCTGCGGAGTGATACTGTGTGTATGCAAGTCCGCATCTAGGATAGGGACATCTAATTTAACGTTGTCTGGATGTTGACAATCAGGATGGACATCTGGACATTATGACCCGCCTTGCGAAATGTTGTTACACCCAGGCCTTGATTCCTATTAAAACTCTCTACCAATCTAAGTGGGCTAAGCGTAGCCACGGTGCGGATTTTGCAAGTCTCTACGCTCACGTTGTCCGGCCAACTATTCTCTCACGTGTACGGATGTCGATTTTTTTTGTTTCCTCAGAAGGCTGACAGGCTACGTACGGGCGAGACGCATCGCAGCAACAACGAGGCGCCGATTTTTTACTGGCTCTAAGTAGATATTTGTTGATGTGGACGTAAATCGAACTCAGTCGCGAGTCGTCGTCTGCGCTAGCAACCTATAAACGAAGCGGTGATCGTCCTCTTGACTGCGTCTCAGGTCAACAAGTTGTGCGTGTGCCTCTCAACTCCTCTGCTGTTTCTCTTTGTGTCGCGCGTGGCTTTTTATGGATGTTAGTTTGCAGAACCGGTTGTGACAAGCCTAACAAGTTCCTTTTGCCACATTATAGAAATACGTAGTCATAACTGCGTCCCAGACCTCTCATTATTCCAATCGGGCAGTCTGGAAACGATACTCCATAGAAACTAATAGAACTTCCGCTCTGTGCGGTTCCCTTATCCCATTATGAAAAAAATTGAATTTCCATAGTCGATCTTAAAGAGTCGCAAATGTAATGAATGTTCCCGTAACTGATAGAAGCATAATGGTCAGAACCTTTGATTGCGGACAAATTTGATAGGAAACCAAGGACGCGTATTGATTAGTGTTGTCACGTCAGAAGCGAGTCTCAGTCACCGATCTGTATAAATCAATTGTGTAAGTCGCTATAATCGCTTTAGACTTGAAACCTATTTTCGGTCCAAGTTTTAAGGCAAAATAAAACATCAGTATAACTCAGTAGATTCCGGCAAGAATGTCTTCCCTAAAACCTATGAGTAGAAAAAATAGTGCAGGTATATTAGTCTTTTTATCTATGTGACAGTTGTCGGGATTTTATAGTTAAAACGGCTACCAAATCCATATGTTACACACTGAGTCCGGATACTTACTATATACTTGTTTGGGAAGCATTTCGGAAGTATTATAACTATCCTTATATTACCTTCAACCACAGCAGATGCACGGATGGACTTCAACTGTAAAACTGTGAGTCTCATCCTCTTTTTTGAGTAAACCTCTTTTGCTGGAAATTTCTAACGTCACTCCGCGATCGATTTGAGCGACAAGAAACACCTCCTGTCGACGCGGGCCGGTTGAGGCACTTCGCAAGATAAAGTACAAGCCGGGCAGTAACAGAGCATACTAGAACGAAGGCACCGTTCCCTATTAACAACAGAGAAGAGACATTGAAAAAAAAAAGCGGCAAGCAAACGGTAAAACTCTAATATGTGCGCGGGCGCCGCCTTTCGATTGGTCCTTTCACAAAAATCCGTGTTCCGAATTGAGAAGGTTGGGAGGCGCTCTGCGATCACCGCGACTCTTCGCTCTAGGGTAACCGTCTTCCTCTAACTGTGGGTCGCGGTACTCTAAAGGCATAAGGAACCACAATTTATAACCTTGCGGCGGGGAGGAGGACAGAGAGCATGAAAGATGCTAACCACACTATGCTCCTTTACTTGGTATAAGCACACGAACGCATCGACAGACTCCAGTAACGTCAACCGTTTCCTCTCTGTGTCGAAAGTTGCTATAGAGACCTCTAAATTCGTACCACGTGTGGCAACGCAGACGCCATACCTGGACGCGTGTATCCGAACTGTTAAAGTATCTGACGCGAATGTCATACTTAGTCCTCTTGTAAATCTCTTCTAAGTACCGAAGCACTCGGCCGCACGCCACATTCGATTTGTGCGTGATAACTGTTCTGCTGGATGACTCACTATATTGAGTATGCGATGCAAGTCCACAAGTAAAAGTCGGCGTCTGAGCATGCAGCGGAAAAATACACGCAGCGATTCAGGAGCATGTGGTAACACATCCTAATTTTCGCCGAGCCGTAGCAATTTTAATACGCTCACTAGTAAGTATCAACTCGCTTGCAGCATCTTTTCACTGCGCGTGATATGCAGACACTGCATGACTTTTACCCCACGCTGACGCCTCACTATGCCACGCATACGTTCAGGGCGTAGATCCTGCCTAGATTACATAGTACCGTCCTCTGAGACGGTTCGGTATTCTACTGTAGTCTTGTT